GAAGACGAAGCGGTCGAAACGTCAGGCCAGTGAATAAAGATTCCATCTTAAAAACCTCGTTTGGCACAGTACAAAAACAATTGCAGTACATTTAACATCAAATGACGAGGTTCTGAGAAAGGACGACGTGGAGGACTATTTATTGCGCTAAGGCCACGAAGCAACTACATGGCTCCAGTATTGGTTCTATGGTTCTATTGATTAATGACTTTTCGTCAGAGAAAAAAGAATAGTGACAATTCTGGGCCACGCTCTAAGCTCTATCACCATGATACCTTGGCAAGGGTTTGTTGGCACTGTGTGCTCTGTGTTTTGCCTCCAGTTTTGTAGGTAGGAACACTGTTTCGGCCAAGGTTTCGCACTTCACATCGTTTCTGAAAGCCTCAACATGGCTTAGGAATTGCGCAAAACTTCATCGAATGTCTAATCCTCCCTAGCGTTTCTGACGTCACCTCAGAAATGCAAGGGAACTATACTGGACTTGAAGATCAGCTCACCTCAGGTTCCACCGCTTACTGTAGATCTACATCTACACTCGCTTAGTACATCGGTAGTGAATGGAACGTATATAGCTATCATGCAGGACATGCATGTTCGCGGAATGATTAATCGCTCGCAATGTTGCATAGGCGGCAAAAGAACAGTTTGGCCTTGAGTTCTCCTTGCGAGTTTTTTTTGCATGCTTCTTGTCTGGACCGGTCTCAGCGGTTTATAAAGATGTGTTGATGCAAGGGGAGCGTGCGGTCTTTGAAAATGTGATTTTATTGGTATTCTGCCATCTTGTCTTTTTCTTCGTGTGATCGGCAAAAACTTATCATACTTCTTCGGAATTTCGTCGAACTCTGTGGACAATCTTTGTATAGATTTTTAAGGCAGGAACTCGCCGCTTCAACAACTTTGTGATATCAATGACAGAAGTGCGATGTGCACTATTCATCGCTCTCCGGAAACAAGCCTCTCAGAGTGAAGTGTGAACAGTAGAAAAATAAAAGTAAGGGGAACGAACTAGAAAGGAGCTTAGACACTGATGTAAATAACAAGCAAATTTTTCCTTGTACCCCTCCTTTTTTCGTGGCCCTCGAAAGCAAGCCTCCCAAAGTGCATTACGCGTGGGCTGTGGGTATATCAACAGAAAAACAAAAGTGCAATGGAAAGAACAGTCGAAAACAGTTTCGAAACTGTTTTGATTGAAATCCAGACTGGTGTCGCCCTCTCTTCAACGTGAATCCCATGAAAAGGGAGGCACGAGATTTAATAAAATGTCAAAAGCCTCGAACACTGGAAAACTTCACTGGAAAACAAGTGTTTCCTTGAGTTATTGGGTAACCATAAAGGCTGTCAGGGGGTCTGCCGAGGCTATTATGCATTGAAACGTGCTAAATTCGGAACTGATGTAATTAGGCAGAAATTGAGTTCCGGAAGCTTCAAGATTATTGGAGTCCATTCTCTGTGAGCAATCTTTATAGGATTGTAAGGTGGGTACTCGCTGATAACACTTCAGCAAACTTCATGATTTTAATGCCAGAACTGCGATGCTCCCCTTTGTTCTTCGAAGACAAGCTTTTCGAGGGCTGAGTGAACTGTGAGCAGACATATCAACGGGAAAATAATAGCACAACGGAATGAACTATTCGAAAACATCTTAGTATGGTGATCTTCAGAATTGATGGAATTAGCCTATGGAAAGTTCAGATAGCGCATTTTACAAAGCAACTCAATGTTTGGCGGTGAACCTAACGCTTTATCGGCTGTCCTGCTTCAACTAAACTTCCGTTTCATGCGCGCGGTGCGTGCGGAGCCAAACCGGTATATTATAATTTTTTGGTGCCTCTGACTGTTGTTCGTCATTTATTCCAAACGGTTTCGAAACTGATGTAATTAGCAAGCAATTCAGTTTCTCCTGTACCGATCCCTTATCATTGCCCTTGAAGAGCAAGCCTCCCAAAGTGCAGTACGGGTGGGCTGTAGACGTATCAACAGAAAAATAAAAGTGCAACGGAAAGAACAGTCGAAAACAGTTTCGAAACGGTTTTGATTGAAATCCAGACTGGTGTCGCCCCCTCTTGCGGCCACATTGTGACACGAGTCTCGTCAAAACAGAAGCGCCAGAAATTCATTAAAACATCAAACGCTAACAAAAGGTTCACTGTTATTGGATAACCTTCACTGCATAATGCCGTCAAAGGTGCCTGCCGAGGTTGCTAAGCATCACGACTTATGGATATTCAAAGGTTTCGAGTCAGTTGGAGTTGTTTTGGAGTTGCACAGGAATCCTGGGTTGTGAACAAACTTTCGCCCCAGACGGGACTCGAACCCGCACCTCTTGCTTTCCGGGCAAGTGCGCTACCAGTTACGCTACCGGGGCACCATTTCATTCCAACTCAGCTTTTCATGGTATACGTACCATAGCTTTCAGCACGCTAACGTGTTGAGCCGGTTAGCCGATATCGGTGAACCGCGAGGCTGAAACCAATAGCTTTAGCAATTCATTTTGACTTAGTTTTGATTGTTCACTGCTGTTTTTGGCCGCAGTTCTTCTTGCGAATGTTTCACAAGAATGCTGGGTTGTGTGCATAGCTTCTACCCCTGACCTAAGACATAGTAAGCATACCATGAAAAGCTGAGTTGGGATGAAATGGTGCCCCGGTAGCGTAACTTGTAGCGCACTTGCCCGGTAAGCAAGAGGTGCGGGTTCGAGTCCCGTCTGGGGCGAAAGTTTTGTTCACAACCCAGCAGTCTTAAACATTTACAAAGCGAACTGCTGCCAAAAATATTAGGTTGGAAAGAAAGTCCTGCAACACTTTTTCAAATTTTTGATTTTAATTTTATCTTTTTTGTTTACAACTCCTGACCGGTCTTATATCTACCATGAGTGTCCACCACTTGTCTTCAACGCTCAGAAAATTTCTTGATGCTCCTTTGCCAAAACCCAGCGGAGTGCGGGTCGAGAAAGGAGGCGACCTCACTTTCGAGTTGGAGTTGATCGTCTAATTATTTCGTCATCAAGATGATGATTAAGGTCCAGGATAGGTGGCAGTCATTTATAGCTCGACCAGGGGAATACGCTAAGAGAGGTAAGAAATCTTGCCGCAGCTCCAGAATTTCTTACCGGGCTCATTTCGGATCATGGTGATTCGCAATGTCATGAAAGAAATAAATATTGTCGCGGTACGAGGGCTCCTGACGAGCTGCCTCGGCCAGCTTCTGGAGTTCCGCAGCCTAGACCTCTACCTACACAATGGTGCCCATAACGAAGAATTTGTAGTGGAGCTTCCGTAAGAGCCCTACCTGTAATGGAGTGTGCGGGACGCTGCTGGCTTCTTATAAAAATATCAAAAGATCGAAAGCGCTGGTAAAGGTGAAACACGCTGTAGCGGTGAACGGCATGCCTATTGAAGCTATTGCAGATAGTGTCGGTCGTTGACACGAATCCATAGTTATGGAGACATTTGTACTAGACAGTGACTCGGAGTACGGATTTACTAGTGGTCGAGGTTTTTTGAATTTTCTTGGATAACTACTGACTGCAGCACTTATATCCACCTCGTGGATTGAAGCCTCGAGAATGCTCTACCATTTGTTAGTCATAAATGTTACCTATGAATTTTTCAGAAAAAAAGAAAATTTTAGAAAGAGTGTTGCAGAACTTTCTTTCCAACCTAATAGCAGTCAGAAATCGAAGTCATTTCAGAGTCTTCGGAATTTTGAAGTTTCAGTTCCTGTCTTCGTCATATAGCAATTGATCGAGTGAAATTTAATAAATTCCGCCTTTTCCTACAGAGGTGCTCTTGGACCAGGGCATCAAGTACGTCTGAAGAAATTGAAAGTGATCTACAGAGGTTTAAGGTGTATTAAACTCACGATTCCTGTTATTATGATTTCTGCCACAATCATCACCTCACATCGTCGTTTATTCGGAGTGGCTTCTCAGTAGGAGTGATCCGCTTTCTCTCCTCAAGATTGCTTCAACATCGACAAATGAAGCCCATTACGAGTTGACGTGATTTCTCTCGCAATGAGCTTCACTTGTCGAAAATCATTCCTGTGAAATCTGTCAACAATGGGCCCCATCTTTATTTCCCCTTCAATTTGCTCGCTTCGGTCACAAGTAAGTCACTTTCTCTTGCTAACCTTCCTCTCACGGTGTACATATGCTAACATTACATGACATTGAAGGAAGCTCAATAGCAAGCGCGCATATGACTGATGAGATGGATTCCAGCCCCGTTGCGCACAAGTCTTCAACAAATTGGTCGTTGAACCAGGCACTGACAAGGATATGCTTTCTCCAAAACGGCTACAAAGGGTCCGCATAGGAACACAAATTAGCTGCCACAATGTGATCAACAAATATGCTGACTACTAAAAAAAGGAGTCGTTTGAGGGTGTGGAAAAGAATATCGATAAAATAAAGTATCAATATTTACCTGGGAGAAGTCGAATATCTCCTATGTACGAACGTTACAACTGAGTATGCTCCAATTGAGTTGTTTTACCGACTAAATCTCCCACTTCTCTACTAGCTATCACGACACATCGATACAATCGCTAAATTGATTTCAACATACGCCATAGCCAACATATCAAAACCTCTAGAACTATGGTCAACAGTAAATAAGACTTGAACATCAGCCCTCCAAAGTGCAGGAAACCATACATCAGTACATGACGATAACAAAGATGTAGATGTCCCACTCCTCTACTAGCTATCACGACACAGCTATGCAATCTCCAAATATATTTCACTGTACGCCATAGCCCACATATCAACACTTCTGGAACTATACAGTAAATAAAATTTAAGCATGAAACAGCAGCTCTCCAAAGTGCAGGTAACCGTACATGACGATAACAAAGATGACAACGAATGAAATATTTGAACAGATTTCAAAGGGATTCGGTGAAAACGTGACACATTTGATTGCACTCGACGTAATCCACTGCACATGAATAAAAGGCAAGGGTAGTAAAGGAATCTATCACAATCGGACACAGTCAGAATGTTGTTCGGCGCTACACTGTTGCTGTTCCTCCCGGGGATTCTTGGTGTTGATCTTTTTTGTGTTCACCGTAAGTGTCTATTGCAAAGTCAATCATTCAATCAGGGGTCTGCCACGCTCGCTAAAGTGATCTTTATTTGGGAATGTAAAATTCATTTTGCAGGTCACCAATGTGGTAACGAGCATTTCATGAAGGCAGTAATGTGGAAGTTCTTCTGGAAACAACATAGTACCCTGGTAAGCGTTTCACGAATGCATAGCTCTGAGAGCATCATGATCATGCACGCGGAGTTCGGTCTTAGCTCCCACCCAGATCGAATACCGCTGGCCAGATCGAGGCACCTACCACAAGAAGGCAGCCTGCTAGTATGCGTTACGTCCAGGAAGAGTCAACCGTCCGTACCAAGTCGAGCATGAGTGTCGTATTTGATCGACGGACCAAATACATCTACAGCCACATAGAGTAGGCGTCAGGAACAGGAACATTCGCCCATCAACTGTGTTCCTTCGAAGTCTGCGTGAGCGTGGTTCCAGGTTTTGTCTTCTACAGGCCATGAACAGAACGTAGTCTTTACTGGGTTCTTGGCGACTTCCTGGCAACGGCTACTTTTTCTTTCTCCTCCATGTTCCTGTCGATATTGATCCATTAGCAGTAATCTCTGGCTAGCATTTTCATTTTAGACATCCCGGAGTGACCATCATGTAGGTCTGTCAGAACAGCGGCTTGTAGGCTGTCCGGTACGTCCTTGCGATCTCCATGGTGAGGTTGTTGCGCATTGTGTTGGAACTGAATAAAAGACTTTTAGACTTTTCCGCCATCTTTTGGAGAGCTTCCTTCAAGTGAGAATCCTTGAGCGCTTATCCTGCATGGCATTAGCTGTGACTGGTAGTTTGGTAGACGCATCTGTAAACAGATTCACGGCATCGGCGTTGATTTCGGCTAATGACGACATCTTCGAGCGGTGTTGGCTGGTCTGCAATGCGACGGGATAGGGCGCCTGCTTGACCGAAGTTGCTTGTCGTCCTATGCTCGATTGTGAAGTTGTAGTTGAGCATGATTAGCGATACTTATCTATCATAGATCATATTCTATTGTGTCAACACTCCGATTCGAATACTTAGAGTCAATGCATCTTATCATACGTGATCGCAGCAACACATACAATAGCGCTAGCGTTGCGTTGTTGAGAGTCTTCGTTGAAACTTTTTGTTTTTTCTGCTGCATCAAACTTTGAATTTTACTTTATTTTGAAGGTAAGCCTCTTGACTGAGCCAGCACATTCGTGCAGCATGAAACGAAGGTATGACCGGATTTCATGGAAATATAAACTATTGCAAAAAACTTGAGCCTAACAGAACGATCGACTGCATATCAAATTGCATTAAGCAGAACCAATACTCTTGGTAAGCTTCTAGAGCGCTGAAAGTGCTTGAGTATGGAGTCAGTGTGGAATCAGTCACTAAATTTACTGCATTTGTATAAGTCATACCATACTTTTTCTCGATGGGTGTAGGGGGCGTAACTATTCATTATGACTCGAAGCTCATGATATGAAGCTGATTGCCTCTCCTTTGAAGGAAGGAAACTCTCTACAGCATGTGTGCCTTAAAGGCACGAGTCGGGATTGAATTGATGCGTTATTTTGTTCAAACATTAGGCAAGGGGTGCAATGAGGAACATTAGTGAGGAGAAAAAGCAAAAAGCACCATAGAAAACACTAAATTTCCCTTAGGAGGCCGGCCGTAGTACGACGGAGAGACACAGCGCTGCGAGGAGAGGGAGAACGCGAGATAGTACGTCGTACGCGAGAGGACGCAGAGACCACGTATGCCGTGGTGGATTACGCTGGCAGCGCGGGCGGCAAGGCCTTACCGCGCACTTTTGGGTCGCGATAGTGTCGCGCCCTCAGTGCTTGGGGAGCCCACTATCGCACCCTGGGAAGAACTTCTGCTGGTTGCCTAATCCTGACTCGTGGCTTTAACTCTTCGGCAATATTGCCACCCACTGGTGGGTCCCACGTGAGACAATGGCACCCGGGAGGGTGCAATTTCAACATTTCCTTCTTTGCACATTGAAATTTTTTCATTATTCTAGTAATTATTAGCAAGCGACATTATATCTGAATATAGCACGGTTAACAGAAGTATCTAATAGGAGCAAATTTTCACAAGATTTCCCTGCGTCGCATTCAGCTTGGCGGCATTTTGAGTGGGATTTTGCGATAAGACTGAAGGTCGATCACTGGTCGGAGCTACTCTGCCTTTACATAATCTTCAAACACAGGGAGGGTGTGGTTTGGATCAAAAATTTCCTTGCACATTCATAAGTAATAAAACTTCTCTAGTTTTCACCGTATACAGGGGGGGGGGGCAAAAAAAGAGTCACTTTGCCCATGGCGCATATCATCAAACTTTTCGTCGCAAAGGATGCCGCTGTTATTGGGAGTTATACGGCAAATATTCCTTAGATGTCCCCCCATAAGCAGAATCAGGCCCACCTTCGCTGCTTCACCGTCTCCAGAATATGACGTCATCTGTCATCACCGTCGAGCTCAAGGAGGCCTACCATAATCGCTCCATTCTGAAGCTGCTACATAATTTCTTCAATCGGATAACTGGTGAATGGCTTCTTAGAGACACTAGCTCTGACTATGCAAAATGGCTTTTGACCAGCGTTTCAGAGACGTCGTAATCGTCTATGGTTTCTCGACGACCTCGTTGAGCTCGTACCGCGAACCATGTTTCCGTGGGAAAATCTTCTGATGTCGTCGGTGTAGAAGGCCCTATGTAATTTTTTGATAGAATAGAATGTGCTCTTCAATATGCAATTGAGCTCATTCGGTTTGGTTTTGGCAAAGTGTAATTAATTCTGTTTTGAATGTGAGTAGGAGTGACTCTTTTTTTCCCCCCCCCCTCCCCTGTATATGTTTGAAATGCGAGTGTCCGAACATTCCATTCTCTTCTAAACAACGTCTAATATGAAAGCTCAAATCTGCAGCTAATATATATTACGTATGCTGCTAAAGCAAAAAATGAGATAGAGAAACTGCCTGATTTGCTGGATGTTGAGCGAGATTGGCGTGGTCTCACGGTCCGCTATGTGCAAATCCGCATTGTCGTAGAGATAGTTAAGGAGGGACAAATTTAGCTGCATATTCTGAGCGTCATTGAGACAGTACCGGTTAGTTAGGGAATGCTATGCAGGAAAAAGCTAGAGAAACGGAAGACAAATTCGGCAAATTTGAAGAAAAATGGGTCTAAAAAAATAATGAAAAAAATAATAAATAATAAAAAATGGGTCATACTTAGGTCCTATCAATGCTTCAAGAACCCTATAAAATTATCGTCAACGTAATTCATGTTTCTGCTTAATGCCATTGAATATGTAGTCCACTGTTCTGTAAAATCATAGGTTTTTTTACAACATGTAGTGTGAAATTTCTCAGAGTTCGGTCACACTCGGTAACATCCAGCAAATAATTCCTCATTATTCCACTCAACTGAATGTGCTGCTCAAGTGAGGGGAGCTTGATTTCACATTGCAATTTGAACTGGTTTGATTGGGCAGAAAAAAGTTCAAGACGAAAAAGTGTTCACGACTTGAGCGCTATAGAATATCGCTCCATGCATTTTTGGGTCCGCTCACCCGTCCACATGAGGCGCTTTTCGGAGGATTTTTTGGGGAACTGAATTTTCATGCATGAACTCTTACACCCTTTCCGTAGTGGCGTTCCAGTAGCATTGCCATTCTATATAGGGAAAATTTTGCGAATGTCTCCAAAATTCTGTGTAGAATATATCTCAAAAATATTGATCAATTCCAAGTAACTATTCAACCTTCCACAGAATTAAGATTTGACTATAGATTGCAGTTTGCAATTTTCGAAAACAAGCCTTTATTTTCAGTACTGGGACAAGAATATGGCGTTCGAGGCTCAGAAAGCAATGACAACATAATTCGTCAACACCGCCGGACACCCTCAGAATCTACACTAAAAAGTTTGTTTATGTGATCATACTAATACGAATTTGAACATGCGCTTACGCGCACAACATGCTTCTGTTGCAACACGGGACTGAGCAACAGAAATTCCTGAATTCAAATCATTCACCAGCCGCATTTGACCAAATCTTGTTCACTAACCGAACCAGCCGTATAGCCCCCTATATCCCCATTATTCCTACTATATATGAAGCGCTATGTCTATCTGTGTGTCTGTGTGTCCGTGTGTGTGTCACGAAATTCATAGCACGCGTCGCAGCAGTCGTCAGAAGTTGATTGAGACACGAGTGGATACGATATAAGTGGATACGATATAAGGGGTGGGACGGTTAAGGGTGTCAAGAAGTGGAAGCGACCGGTAGGAGATAACAGGCACTGAAATGCAATTTCCCGAAATTCTTAGTGACGTCCCAGCGGTCGTGGGCCGTCGGTTCTTCCAAGTAATAAGTTGTTCAGTCGTAGTTCTTACAGGGTGGGATAGGAACATATTTGGGGGTGGGGGGTCAGAGTGTGATATTGACTGACAAGGCTGTTTCTCGCGCCTACGGCCCCTCCCCTGTCTTCGGTCAAAGACGACCCCTCGCTGTTCTTTGCGCAACGGTCAGTTAACCTTTGACCCAGTTAGAGTGCTTTAGGGCAGTCCTTCAAATTGATTATTGGACAGGAGATGGACGGAGTGTCTCCCAAGAGACCCGTCGCGCAGCGAAGAGAGATACACAGACGCGGCAAAGGAAAGCGCATGCTATAGCGTTAGGCGTCATATTAAATCACCACACACACAGCAACGCTGTTCGCATGAAATCCTCTACGTTGTGACGAGTAAATTTATCTCGAACTCACCTGCGGGAAATATGGACTGAAATCTTGCATTGTTTGTCGCATTTTAGCTTCCAATCTCGGGTGATATGGCTCAAATCCCCTAAATATTTTTATGTGTATACAATTAATTAATTAATTAATT